TCGCACCACGGCGGCGGCCTCCTTTGAAGGAAATCGCGAATCCGCGACACTCCGGGCAACAAGAAGAAAAAAGAAGGGGTCCGAGGTAGTTTCCGATCTGCCATGTTACCTACGACCCTACGAGTCAAACATACACACAATCTACGAGTCAAAAATCCCTAGGTGGAACGCGGGACCTACACTTGTCGTGGTAACAGCCAGTTGTTCTCGGGGGTAAGCGTGAAGAGTCGTCGGGAGCTCTACTCTGGATACTGGCGGGCTTCGGCAGTTGCGTAGTCGATAGTTGCGTTGACGGAAGTTGAGACGACGATTGACGGCGATCTCGACACTTGCGGCATCGACAGCTTGAACGGACCATGGAACTCGGCGTTGACGTGGATGTTCGGCTTGACGTTGACGTTGACAGCGGCTCGACATGGATGACGTTGAAGTGGCGATGAAGACCAAAAAGTTTTAATTTTGCCTACGGGCGCATTTTTCCACGCCAGGGGGAATAAATTTTGTGAGGGGGAGATTTTCCTCACCAAGCACAAGAACCCAGGGCCAAGTCAAAGTTGCAAAAGAAAGGGAAATCCCAAAAACCAAAAAGTTAACACGGTCTCCCACCGTGACCCCAAAAAGTCGTAAGTTGAGGCTATAGTCACAACTGTCAGCGTAAAGTGGGGATCACTGCTGCCGATCCTGAATCAAAGTCAACAATAATGACAAAGGGCGAGCTTAAGGCTCCCCGAAAAACAAAAGAAGTAGAAAAGGAAAATAAAAAGATGAGAAAAGCTTAAATCGGGGATGTAAACTTTCAAACCTACCTGCGGGAGCTTGGTCTCGTGCTCCTCTCTTCTTCCTCGAACTTGCTAGCTCACTTCGAGAATGGGCCATGGCAATCCATGCTCGGTAAGGAGCGAGAAGCAATAAGATGAGATGGCTAGCCTGAACATAGCTTCGAACGTCCGTGACCACGAGAAAGATGGAGGTTGCTGAAAGTATACAGATATAGTACAAGTGTGATAACGTAAGGTGTGAATGGGTGTCTGTGGGCAAAACGAAGCTGCTGTGAAACGGCTTGTGGGGCATCTGTGCGATCATGTCGCTGCGGCGTCGTCACTGTTCCTGTCGTCCCCGTAGTGGCATCCTCACTGATGGAATTAGCGAGTCGATGGATACGAAGAGACTGGACTTGTTCACTATCCGCTTCCTGCGTACTCTGCAACGTGCGAAGAAGTGCTTCAGCGTCGGCCAGATGTTGATCCACGCTATGCCCTTCCGCGAACCTGCTGTACGCTTGCTGATCCGTCGGCGAATTGGAGGTGGTAATGTGGTACAGAAGTACATCGCGACGTTCACGCAAAAGCGAAAGTGCGGATCTCAGACTCACTATGTGAAGCTGTGTGGCTGTCTGACGTTGCTGGAGCTGATGGAGTTGCTCAGAAGCTGGGGCATCAGACACGTACGGGGTAAGCAAGTCGGAACTTACCTGCCTCCCAACCGCCTCCAGGTCCTCGATGGCCTTGACGAGCTTTGGAATGTAGGATTCTACGGTGGTCATATCGATCGATAGTACGCAGACTCGGTAGCTTGCAGGAGGTAGTTACTGCCAACCCAAAGTCCGGAATTGTACTCCATAAATGTATTTGATGGGGGTGTGACTACTTCGCGACGCAATCACACAAATGGTGAACACAATACACGAGTGAAATGAATGAAACGATGAGCAACAAACAACGACCGCAACTCCCAGATATTACTATGGGGAACTGAGTGCCGATAGTGAGGAGCAGTATCGATCGCAAGGAGCAGTTAACTAGCTAAGTCTAGCCACAAGTTGCAAAAAAGGGGGCATGAATGCACAATGCGAGCATGAATGCGCAGAAGGTAAGTTTAGGACGAGGCTCTCATCAAACCCAACAAACAGGGCTCTTTCGTCGGTCTGATAGCGTGTTTCAGGGCAGACAGAGCTATCCACCAGAAACCTCGATGGCTGCGGAGAAACCTGGCCACCAGAATGATGGCATGTTTCAGGGCAGACAGAGCTATCTACCTGGGATCTCCATGGCTGCAGAGAAACCTGGCCGTCAGAAGGCACCAGACAATTCCGGGCAGTAGGCAGGGCGTAGATTGCTGCTGCCACTACAGGTCTAAGGGATCACCCTACTCCCAATCTAAGTGGAACTGTGGGTAGTCGCGTATTCGCGTCAGCCTAGTCGCTACGGAGCTTGCTGATGAAACGAAGGATGAGTCCTCTCATGGAGCACAAGGAGCAACAAGCATGTATACACTGTGCAATCATGCAAAATGAAAAAAGGAGATGAGATTTGCACTGCTAGCGAGGGACACTTATGTGCAAAGCGTGTGCATGTGGGCTAACACAGGTGAGGCTCGATCACAAAAGCTGAACATAGGTTTACTATCCCTATGCTCAACTCCGGTACGATGCACCATGTCGCGGATTGGGCCCCCAGCTCCCAACGTCAGTGGTGTTACGGCTCTCCTGCATCGGCGAGGGGAGCCAGGGGTCCGCTCCACAAAAGAGTACGTATCATGTGATGGCTACCTGTGTAAATGCTACTTGTGCCTGCCACATGGGAACTCTATACACACGTAGAGGCCCTTGCGACCAGCCTGCTTAGCAGTTACTTGACACCTGCGATCCGACTCATCTCCCAACTACCGACAGTTGGGGCATGTATTCATAACCACGGCACTTAGCTAGCATCGTGCCAGCCTTCTAACAGATCTTTCCCACTAGGCCTGATTATAAAGTACACAATAGTAACGATGGCATGAGATATCCCCGGAGCCACGGCCGAGCTGTGGCTCACCGCATCAAACAAATCACACGTGCAAAATGCCCACCATTTATCCACAACTAATCCCTAAACTCAAACACAAGGGGTGAGCACAACCAGCCAGATCTTAACCTAGGGGCCGACAATATCGGAAACCCCCCGCGGCGGTGTCGCCGGCATGTGCCAGGCGCGAGCGCTCACGGGGTTACCTCGTCTGCGTGGTTGCCTGTCCTCCGTGGGTAGGTGTAGTTGAACGCGTGAATTGGGGACGGCGCTGCATCGATCGACACGTGGGATGACGAAACTGGGACCCAACCGCTCACCAGGTAACGAAACTGACGACTGATTTGAAAGCTGCGGCGGTAGCGATGGGAAGGCGGGAGCAGCGCGAGGACAGCGTTTCAGGACCCCTTCGCACCACGGCGGCGGCCTCCTTTGAAGGAAGACGCGAATCCGCGACAGGTGAAGATGTCCAGGTGGGCAACCTCTAATCTGAAGTTCAATTCCGATGCATTTCTATGCTTGCTAAAGACTCCTTCTCAGACCCTACAGAAACGATGACCCTTTGCTTTCTCTTTTCCGAACGATACAGCTTGAATTAGGCTGCAGCGAGACTGGGCTTCAAAATCAGTCATAATAATCGCACTTACAGATACGAAATAGATGCGTACTGGCACTGGGCATTTAATCAGCACTGGTTTTGGTCCAGATATTTATCTTGGTGTTCCCCTCCTTAAACAGCACTGTGTTGGATGGGATATGGCAGTTCCAGGCGTTTCATTTGGTAAAGTGAAAGGTGCGAATTCTACAATTATTATAGTTCCAGGTAAGCAAAAGATAATCTTCAATTATAACGCATTCCGCTTGCGTTAAATTGAATAATAAATCCAAATAACGATTTCCGCAATCAGTCAGCCGAAAGATTACTCTGTATATGTAAGCCATCAACTTACTTCAAAAAATGCTTTAGATTATGTGTTCATGATGAGACCACTACTAGCATCACTCGTCTTCCGCGTAGGAGTACAAGTCCCATCCTCTCTACCGGTGGTTCAACTCCGAGGTTGTTTTTTTACGGTTGCATCTTACATATTCAATGAATTCTTTGCAGTTCATCGACAAAAAGAGCGGAGAACATAGCATCTAACTTTTACACTCATTCTTCTTTTGTCTTCATGCTTTCGACTTTTTTGTTAGGCTAAAAGGGATAAACGGAAAAAAATCAAGCTCACCTTTGTTCAGTGTTCTTCGCTCTAACCTTTGATTCAACTGGCTTGGCACCATTAGGGCGGGGTTTTGTGATCTAATTGAGGCCGCTCGCGCCCGCAACGCACCTGCGTCTCTCTCGCGCGAGTGCTCTCTGATCACTACCTAGCCTTGATTAGGTCACGAAGCCCCGCCTCTGCCGATCCAAGCCAGTTGAATCAAATGGTATATCTTCGCAAAAAGCCTTCAAGGTGCATACATGTGTTTGTGTGACAGTTACTAAGTGAGCATTCATATGACTTTTCATAAAAATTGTAAAACTTTCTAGACTGTAATCCACGTTTTCCGAAGAACTACACATTTGCGGCTTGTACCTATCTTCTTCTATAAGTAGGCCCCATACAATCGCGTTGCATGTGAATTTGTATTTCAAGCACAATAAGGCTGAGTGATGCTTATATTATCCCCCTTGAAATAATTTTGTAAATTATTTCAAAAGTGTAATTTGGCCTTATAAAAAAATTTTTTTAAATACTATACTGGATAGTATTAAAAACGTGTACAATTCAGACTCAGAAGTCCTCGAAGCTTACACTGCAGTTAGGGCGGTGCCATACCCAATGGTAATCATCTGTTCTATCTCCTTTGCCGTTGAAGTCTGCTTCTGTGACTTACAAATATGCATTAGCGGTTCTTCATAGTTGCATTCTAACTGAGATTTTTTTCTGTTCATTTCTTGGAGTTGTGCTGGCGCATTTATTTTGCTGCACACATAAGCATAATTATAACAAGTTCTAAAATTTACCGTACTTTGCGAGTCGATAGTATAGACCTTCCACAAAATTGTACACTCGCATCCCTCTTTTCTCGTGCACTCCCCTTTTTCTTTGTTCCTCCTTGCAGTTAAACTTCCTTCGATGCACGCAACAGCGTTGCGTTCCGCGCAAAACGCAAACTGCTATGCTCCGCAAATGACTTGGTATGTGTGGATAACATGATGCGCCGCTAAACGGGAATACAGCTTTATTTACACATATTATCTTATCAAACATGAGAATATAGATTTTCACAAAGACATCAGTTCTTTGCTGCTTCTTCAGACTTCACCTTGTTCTCTGATTGTTTCAGATTACGCAGAGAGTTTGTCGGCGTCATCTTTTCCTAGAAAAAAAAAGCCTCTGTTTCAACGTTGAAAAAGAAACGAGAACTTACATCAAGAAATGAAAGAAAAGAGTTCAGCACTTGCAAGAAACACATATTAATAGCCACGCTTATATGCAGCGTGATCGCACCGAGATACATCCAGAATGGTCCAAGGGCAGCGTAGAATTTGTGCTCATCGACAAAATGGCCAGGAAGGTCACTGGTGAACTTGCTTCGATTTCCTAAAACCAGAAGAATGTAAAGAATTCAAATAACTATATGGATTGCGTACCTACAGCCATGATGAGTACGATGAAGACAGCAATGATGTCGGTGAACACCATGAGAGCAGTAACAATGGTAATGTGAGCGTTAACAAGGGATTTTCGTTCACTGCTCACTCCGAGAATCTGACACGAGTATAATCATACATGTTGTTTAGTAAGCTTTCAAATCCCCAGATACACGATAGTAATAGGCTCATAAGAACGTTAAAGCGACAAACTATTTATTTATTTCCGAGCTGACATCCCGGGTTCCACCCCCGGTTTGGAGCCAGTTCATCGTGCTTGACCTTTCATTTAGCGAAATTTCCTTCAATTCGAATCGTCTACCATTATGTTTTCATGACCAGTAGATCAAAATGAGCTTCAACGCTCATCCTTCATGACTATGAAATGTGCATAGACATACACACAGATTTTTTGCTATATGTAAATAGAGATTTATGCAATACATGGATCTAATGTACATAATGTGCTAGATAATGGAAACGCTTATATTAGAATGGTATGTATACAAATAGAAGAAACAGGAGTGGTAGTATTTTTCTGCATCATCTTTGCCGAGTTTTCATCACACGATGTAAACAGTAGCTTCACATCATTTTCTCGGTGAAACCACAAAGTAACCAATCAGAAGCGAAGAAGTCAGGCATTTTTCACTCAGTTCTAGATTTAGCAAAGCGATGTCATTGAGGGGGACTAAACTTCTAATCATTCTCAAGCTTTACCGCCTTTATTGCACTTTACCAAATTTGCAGTTCAGCCTTCAGCCTTGCATCTTCCCATAACCTTATCTAAGCTGCAAAAAAGTAAGCTTTCTCATAGTAAGTTGCAGAATGATCTCCCTCATTCTTCTTAACTTGTAAAACCAACACATCAATGTTTCAAACGAAAAGTGGTCAAGGGTACTTTTTCATTTTTATCAACGATGTGATGATTTTACGTCTGCGTCTCATCAAATAAAGTGTTATTTTCATTACTCTATTTGATAGCAAAACAGTGACGTTAACCAGCTGGAAACTTCGTACTTGGATTGAGAGTGAAACAAGCATGAAACAAGTATGGTTTTCCGAAAGTACTTGCTTGTTTCATGATTCTGTATGACCGATTGCACTGAATGGCCATAAGAAGATGATCACGTTCACCAAGATGTAATCATCAGTGAACCATCACATCAATCGCTGGTTTCGACCAGATTACTACCACTCCAGACGTACAGATGATTTGCGTTCATTCTCACTTCGCTAAAACTTCTGCGTAAGAATCATATTGACAACGTTGACGACAGTGCGCGGCCTGAACACTCAGATTTGCGCACCCTTCAAATTTGTGTTCGTATAGTCAACTTAGGCTCAGAGGTTCATGTTGGCCCCGCCCCTCTTTTGGCAAGCTCCGCCCACTCCGTTGCCAAATGCGGGAATCTTTTTGTGCCCAAAGCGCGTAGATCATAGGTGACTGGGAAACGTCATGCGACCTTATCCCCGGCCCCGCCTCTCATCAGGCAAACTCCGCCCCCTCAGTGAAAAGCTTCGCCCACCTTTTAAAAATACCGTAATTTGCACAATCCAAATTTAAAATGACATTCAGCCAGGCGTAGAAATGCGCGGAAGCATCTCATCCAAAGGGACAGACATGAAAAATGGCTCTTCGTCATCGTGTTAACAAAGTTGGAGCCACCAAATACAGTAAATTTGGGTAGGTTGATTGTTACATTTGCAATAGACATCGGTAAAATTAAAAATAATTTGGCTCAGGATCACTCAAACATGATCGTACACGCAACTGCTATAAAATCAACTCGAGTTTGTTATGCGTTTGGTGCTGACTTTTGTAAGTGAGTCGAACAAAGCAAACTTCACATTGCTTTTTAAACCTATGCTCGAGTCAGATCGATATTGAAAAACAAGTGCTTTTAAACTTTCTGATGCAGTTTTCTTTATAATTTCCGTAGCTATGATTTCCAACAATTCCATCACTGCTGAAATAATTCTTCTGAATTTGAACCCAAAGTCCCCACTTCAGCTTACAGCTGTGCACTATTTTGAGGCGTTAAAGGCAGTGTCTCACCAAAATTTTGTTGCCGAGATTTTTGCATTTTGCAAGCCTGTCGGACTCTGTCTAGCACTGTATCGGCTTAAAATCGCACGAAGTTCCCAAAGACCCCGTTTTCTGGAGGCCCCGCGGAAGCGACGTGGACGAGTTGTGCCTTCCAACTTCAGCCTCAGCCGCAGTGGCAGCAACAAACGGGAGGTGGATGCCAAGTGGAGGGACATGTTCAAACGCGTAAGGGGGGAGACCGAAGGAGTCGTCTACGCGTACCAAGTCGCTCTCCGCGTACCACTTTGAGCGAATTTTTCTCAGCGTGGAGGGGTAAAATTGAGTGAGAATTGTTGCAATGGCCTATTTAGAGGCCCTCATAATAGAATATGTGAAGATCCGCGCGACCTCAACTTTGGTAAGACACTGCCTTTAAACGCTTGCTTACTTTTGCAAAAGAAGGTTTGATAATGAACAGCTTCGCTAGACTTGAAGACTACTTTCGAAAACTCAGGTTCTTAGCACTCTTGGGTAGGATAAATATCGGAGGCTCAAAGGGGAATTATTTTGAGAAGTCTCGAAAGTAAAAAGTCATAGAAAAGGGTTGTACTAAAATGTGTGCGATCAAAATTTTCTCACATTCTGATTTTTTGGGGATTAGCTAAAGTTACACAAGATCAATCAAAACAATTGGATATATTTTGAACAATTACGAAAAAAACATAACATGACTGCCGAAAAAAGGAAGGAAGTGTGCGTCTTTCGTTGTATCCGATTCACGGAAAGTTTGACCAGAAATTGAAAGGGTTGCATCACTTTTAAATCAAATTAGTTATTAAATCAAAATTGAATTTTTCGCGGGATTGAGATGCACTAGTTTTGGAAACAATCTGAGAAGTAAATATACTATATTGCAAATGATGTAGATGAATAAATCATTGAAAAAATAATTCCGAAAAGATAACGTGGTTCAAGAAGACTTACCGCACAGATTGCTCCTCCCGCGTAAAGCGTTGCGATACAAGCAACCACTGGCCGGAATGCGTCCACATTGATGAAGTAACCACGTTTTTCCAGTGTATAGTAGGTTAAACCCATAATAAGCAGTATGAAGAGCTGGAACGCATATGGATAAACTTCAGTGTCCGTCTGAGAAATTTTTTGGGGAAGGGGCGCGAAATGCCTAGAATAAAGAGACGTTGAACGCGTTTTGGACCCTAGCGGTCCTGCTCTCGAAAAAATTTTCATGAAATTAGTTTGCACTTCTGAAAAGGTTTGAAAATTCTGACTATTCATATAGCAAAAGAACTGTGCTATCAAAGTAGAGTTCTTCTTATCCCCTACTTCCCTAAAATGGAACAGTCTCCGTTCGTAAAGTATAGTAAGCAGAGAGAAAGCGGTAGCTATTTTTTTCATTTTTCCATGACTCATTTCTAGTATAAGCCGTTTGAATACAATGCAATCTGTGCGAAGATAAAATGCTTCTGCGAAAATATCTGTGACGAACAGTCAACGTTATTTTTCTCCTACAAACATATCAAACTGTACTATTTTACATTCTCTTTAGGATCCTGAGGTGGTTGATATACCTTACTCCTTCATTTGAGTTTGTGACTTCGTTTGATCTAAAAAGATTGGTTTTCTGCTTTGGCTCCAACTAAAAGCCCTGCCCTTCAATGATGCAATCTAATCAAATTATTATTGGCTACTTCTTGAAATCCTTGGTAAGAACCAACCTGTGATTTTTGATTCTATTTCTCCAAATTGCATAAAAACTATAGTAAAAAGGCATCTGTTCCAAAGTCAGCCAATAAGATAGACTTCGTTACCTTTTCGAAGGAAGAGAACTCTTTACAAAATCTGACTTATATGACACTACCAAATCAAACAAATAGATACAACGATTTTGTCTACTTTGGACGATGACTGTCAACATGGTGACATACTATTTTTTTGGGAGGGGTGGGGGGAGAAACAGAGGCGTCCCCTTAGCTTTTATACTAAAAGTTTTTAGAAGATCTGAAAAGCCTCAATTGCCCTCAAGTACGAACGAATCACTTGCACAATTCTTATGCTCACATAGACCACTTTTACAATTTGGAATGGAGGGAGAGGAAGGGAAGCACATCTCAAAAGACATCTTCTAAACCCATCCAAACTCAAAAATTCTGAGAAGCATCCCAAAAATTCTTCGGAATCTTGGCTAATGCCACGCACCTCATTGAAAAGTTTTTATTGTCCCTCCTCCTCTCTTCATCCCCTCCCCCCTCCCCTCCCCGAACGGAAATCTTTCTACCGCCACTAGTATGCAGTGATGAATAATGATCAAGTACTGATGAATTTTCACAGTTGCTTTTCATAAGATTTGCAGACCATGATCGATGAGAAATTTTTTACTTCTTGAAACTTGGCAAATCACATCTCTTTTGAAAGTGCATAAATGAGTCATTTTTCTAATCAACTCTCATATATGCATGGGTATTAAGCAATTAAGAACCTTTTGAGACAAAATGGCACTACTTGGAAACAAATCTTCCACTTCAGTGCACAATCAAGGAGTTAGTTTAGACACAAGAGAGTCTCAAAAAGCCCCATAGATTGTTGCAATCTAAACTTGTTCCCTCTCTCACTTCAAGCTGCAAAAATATAATATGAGGTGAAACGTGAATCTTAAGTGCTGAAGCTCAACGTGCTCGTTTTTAGAGTCTCTTAGGTGTGGAGACACATGTTCATTGTGTTGATGCGATAATTTTCGAACACTCACATCATGAGTGGGAGAAACCAGAATTTTCTGCCATAATTGCGCCCAACATTGCACCGATTTCAAGAAATTTTAGTGCAATAACTGGGGGTACAATAAGTTTTTGATGAGGGAAGTTTCGGTCATCTCCGCAAAAGTGTGAAATTAAGCGTTTTGAAGCGATTTCTGCAATTTGCACTCCGGGCAAACCGGGGGCCTATCGAGTAAATATTTTTTGCCACCCATAATCTCCTATTTTTTCGGGTTGAGAGCTAAAATTGTTGCATACCTAAAGCACTTACAAGGTTGAGTAAATGATCGTAGTCTTCATTGTAGAATATAACTACATAGATACGTGGAAGCATGAATAATGAAGGACCACTAGGGGAGGGGGAGGAGTTTATACGTTGTCGTTTTTTAAGTTGCCGAAATGAAAGAACTTAAATTGTACGAAATGTTCTGTAGTTACATGCGTGAATAAGCAATTCGTAGGAATCTGGGGGAGGGAGGGGGTAAAGAGACTAAGTAGCAAAAATGCGAATTTTGATTTTCAATTTTGAGACTTGCTTTGCTCTATCGAAAACTAAGCCCTACTTTAACGACAAGAAAGTTTCCACAACTCGGAAAAGAATTTCTGGGAGGGCCTAAAGCATCTTATTCACAAAAATTTTGCCTGCAATCAAATCTGTAATTTGTATCGAAAATGTTAGACAAACTAATTTTACATTTTTTCAGCAATGGCAAAGTGAAGCTCGTTCTTATGAAAGCACAGAAGCTCCTATGTTTTGTTGATGCAATTTTTTTTTGATTTTTGAAAAAGTCTGAAATTCGTCTCCAATGATCAGCTGTTCGGGAAGTCTTTAAAAACAAACCTGCATGGCAGCGACAATATAGGAAGCAGTAGATGCATGAAATAATTCGAAACAAGCAGCTGGATAATGTGCACGGTGGCTGGTGGCTTTTTGGGGTTTCTGAAATAATTCTGAATTTTTATTTCGGTCTAGAAAGCAGAAAACTCCACCTCAGCCAGCGTTTTCGTCATTTTGCTAGACTTCTTTTGAGTATTTTGAGCCTAAAGAATAGACCTGGAAGTAAAAGGACTAAATGTGTATAAATTTAGAAAAATTCAGAACGGCTTAGCGCTGAACGTCCGAGTTGACCTGAATATATTCGGACGAGGCGGTTGCGATTGTATGTTGCGATCGATACTCGTAATGGTAAAGGTCAGGAGATGGGGAGAAACTGCGTTGCTGAACAAGATTTCGCACACATTCGTTTCCCAGTTTTTCATTTCCCATTTACCAAACCTGTTCTGAACATTTTCTCAAGAACTTTGCAGTCAAATTGCACTTTTTGTGATAGTGCAGAACAGGAATTACCTACAGTTTGAAGAAGCCTTATGCTTGCTCTATAGGAATGGTTGTGTGAAGTGTCGCAAATTTTTTGGAAACTAATTGTCGTAAAACTTTAACGTTGCTTTTAACGTTTTTCATAGATTTTTCTTATAGTTATCAAACTGATTTAGGATTTCCTAATTGCGACCAATAGCAGTGCTAGTGTGATTGCAAAATTAATTTTGCCAAGAAAGTGTACAAAAATACTTCGGTATAGTCCTTCCATAACTTAATTTGTGCGATTGCACACACTACATTGCGCGTTGCTGAATTTCGAAAGTTTGCATGCAAGTTGTAAAAATTCTTGGAGTGTTTGCTGATGCCAGGGAAGAGTAAAAGCCAAGATAAAGAAGCTAGAAAAGCATCTGACTAAAAGAAATGCGTTCAAAATTCTTGGTGGAACGCGTCATATGTGCAATCTGTGCAGTCGCACATATTGGGATATGAAATGAGTGAACTATGCATGTTCTGCTAATATTATAGTTCTACAGTTTGACCCTGATGATCGAAGATGTCTAGGAGGATTTCTAACTAGAATAAAAGCAAAATAAATCAAAAGTAATAGCAACCGAAATTTAAATGAGTACTTATTGAGAATTTCTTTTACCACCTTGTATCTTTGCCATACCCCAAAGAAGACTTTTGATTCAAGCACTCTCCGAAATAAGAGGATTTTTCCTTTGAATACTTCAAAAGATACAATTTTATTAAAGTTCAAGGAAAGTATGAAACTTTAAAAAATATGGTGCAGGACTTATGCATCAACCCGATAGAGACAATCACAAAGTCAGAAGCATCAAACTGATAAGTCTAATTCTACCTCGCAAGGATTAGCCTAAATACTGAAGCTGTAAAGACATGACTTCCTTGAGAAACCAGAGAGAATGGCGTAAAAGAAATTCTAAGAGATTAGCATCCCGCGCAAGAAACGGAGCTTGTATGGATTACCCGCCCACATTCGCTTTACTGTGGCCAGTAGAGGCACAACGGATAATGACTGCAGCGAAGCACTTCCGGTGGAGCTTTTTGAGCTTTTAGGGCAATATAAAATATGTTCGTTAAACAGAAATTTTTTCAGTGATTTGGTGGAAAATTCACTCTTGAATCACTTACATTGGGAAACTTCGATACTGCAATAGGAAGCAAGCTAATATAGCTATTCGGCTTTCACTTGGAATGATGTCTGTTTCTAGCCAGAGCTCAGCACGGACATAGCAAGCGGACATCGGTGAAACGACTTCGCCTTTGCTACTATCAATTTTTACGAATTTCCGAATTACGAATTGCGTATGTTGTTCGATTAGAGCGCGTTTTCTCCCATCTAGAGACCATGTTGCTTTTCCGCATCCTAGCAAGGAAAAGAGGAGGAGATTTGGAACCGATTTTACTATCTAGTAAACCTTAGGTGTAGAATAGATTTTTGTAAAAATTTCAAAAAACTCATATGAAATGGAAGTTTCGCTCATCTGGTGTGCTTAGATTTTTTCCAAATTAGATGGGCCGTTGCCCACCTAATTTGGAGAAAAATCTAAGCACGCTCTTCATTCGCATAAATTTCTCATAATTTTTATACTCTGTTCCTTAGTCCCACTGCGCGTACACAGACTAAATTTTGTGCCATATCGTCATCCGTGCGTTGCAAACAACCCATTTTCCATTTGATTGTGAGCAATTTTCAGAAGAAAGTTTGCTACACTTCAGTCCCACAATTTTTTTTATGAAACTTCTCGCTTGACTCCTACAGGCTCGTGTCCATGTAAGTACCAAGTTCTATATCAGTATTGGGGTGAGGGAATTTATCTACCCAAACACTTGCCGCAACGTATTTATGTATGGAGTTCATAAACTGTTAGCAACGCTAACTAGCACCCATTTTGCACCGCAACAGAGCTGATATAATAGCTTGTTCCCATCCTATGGTACCCTGTACTACATGAAACCTGGATATGTCTGGAATTGCGAAATCAAAGTTCAGGTATGAATTTCGTCCGACTAGGTTGAAAACTGATATTTAGAGGTCTTGTTCACGGTGTTTCCGAATATGCTTGTGATTTTGCTTGCAAAATGTTTTAGACTGCTGTTTGCTGACCGCTATTTCAGACTCAAAAATAAGAACTTGCAGTTCTAGCGATTCAGTTCTGAAATTGACTTCGTCCTCGAATAAAGCTCTGTTTTTGAGTTCCACATTTTGAGCAAAACCACCAGCTTATTTGAAAACACCATGACAGAAACCTTTAAATGTATCTTTCCAAATTCGCAGTGAAATTTATTTGAAAAAAATTATTCAGATAAAATTTTGATTTTCAAGCAAAATCACAAACATATTCGGAAACATGGTAATGGAAAATCTCTGAATACCAATTTTATAATCGCACAGAAATCTTATCTTAACTTTGATTTCGAAATCCCAGATAAATCCAGGTTTTATGTATAACAGGATAGCATAGGATGAGGACAAGATACTGTGTGCAGAAATCAGTTCTCTTAAGGTGCAATGGATTGCTAATTAGCGTTGGTGACAGTTCATGACCTCTATGACTACGTTGCGGCAAGTGTTTGGATAGATAAGTTCTGTTCCCCCCAATATTGTCACCTGTGCGTTGCAAACAAACCATTCCAAATGAAAAATTTTGGGGAAAAGCTTAGTACACCCTCCATTCGTACGAGTTTTTCATAATTTCTCATACCCTGTCCCCATCAGCCTATCTTCGTTCATTTACGAAATTTGGTGCCATATCGTTACGTATGCGTTGAAAACTAGTCACGTATTTATGCTGCTCCAATTGCATCGGTTAAGCGACGTCGCGCGTGCGGCAGTCACGAACGGCTTCGCTTGACGCGCGCGAAAGCCGAATTTATAAAAGAGACCATATTTGTTCGCCATTTGAACTGCCAATTTTTTTTCCGCGGCTCGGCCGCGGATCCCACAAAGACGATATCCTTTGCTTTTAACACCTAAAACGATTTCCAGCTTGTCATTTGTGCACCTCGTGCCGGGACCTGTTCCTACGCTTCGACATCTCTTTTTTTCGGAAACGACATGTGTGGGAAGCGCGTTCACATTCTCACTTTAGCTTCGCTTCTCAGCCCTAATATGGCCTGACCAATCAAAGCAGGCATGGACTAATCATAGTTGCGGTGGGTGTATGGCAAACGGTTCAAAATCCATTTCCTTCACTTTTTAAAGCGAAAAATGTTGTAAGTAACGATACGACATCAAGAGAGAGAACTTTCAAAATTTTACCCAGTACCATAGTAAAAAAGTGCAGCAATTTTTGACCCGTTATTTTATTTGAGTTTCTTTAGGATAGCACTTGGAAAGCGTCCTTGAATAAAAAAGAAAGTACGTGAGGAGCTGTATTATGGGCAACATCGTAAATTCACTCATCTTTTTTCTACAATTCGTGCATTTTTTGGCTTCCAATCTTTTTATTTAGTGCAAAAAACATTGCAGCCTAAAACGTTTCTACCATTGTGGTTTCGCTTGAAGATTGCGTTTCTGTTTTTTGCTCTTGAGCAAAATGCATTCGCTTTTGTTCTGCTAGAATTTCTAAGATGTCAGCTGCTTTTATTTTCTACATTACTCCTTTCATTGATTTGACATGCTCAACCTGCGATGTTCGTAAGGCACTATTCAAGATTTACCTTTATGTTCGATAAAGAGTGTTGACAATCTCAAACATTCGCGTAAAACAATTCACGCAAGGTTCCAACTCTAGCATTTACAAAAAATTGCGCATGCTTGATTGATTTCTAGTGGATGGTCTCGAAATTCCAAACAAGATTCACGCCATCAATCATTAGAATGTTGATGGAGCAAATCTTCGGCTTCAGTAATTTTTCAATGCTTACCCAGGGGAAGTACTTCATTTTTGACAACGTCACTGACCAGAAACTTTTCTTCTTCATCATTTGTTAGGCTTGTCAGATAATGGGACTGAATTTGTTACATAAAAACAATTCATTGTAAAGCAAGTGTAGATGCGATGGCTGTTATAATCAAAGTATGTGCCTGAGCTCGGACTCTAGTGTCTAACCAGGGTCCGACACGGTCTGTTTTCAAACTTTCTAAAAACGAAGTCCCCCCCCCCTAACTTTCGCAGGATTTGAGAAGCCCCTTTGAGTTTTCGAAAACATCGGCTGAAAAAGAAAAAACCTAATTTAACTTGTGTTTCTTCAAACCCACAAAAACGATATCTTCTTAGCTTTTTCGCCCCGAAAACGAAGTCCAACCTGCTTCTAAACGATTTGTGCCGGGCCCTGGGTCTACCGCGCAGAAGCTTTGTCAAACGTAGGGAGGGGCACGAGAAGAGTGCTCGAGCATGCCGAGTTCGTCCGTATGCGCGATGACCGTTGACACATGCTATTAGGTCTGACACGTCAAATGCAATCGGGATTAACTGCCGTTTACCTCTCGCTAAGCAATTATGTCTTTCCTGAAATTTTACCTACTGTGTTTTTGAAGTTCTCAAAGTGAGTGTCCACGATTATGTGCACTTAGAATCTTCAGCCAACTTTTCTGGACATTTTGCTCATTTTTTCAAGTCGTTACACTGCGGTACACGTATCTTTTTTGTATGCTCTAAATTTGTAACTGGTTACAATACATGTTGTTTTTATGAAGACTCTGCAATTTTGCCGTTTGCTGGTTGTGCACCAGCTTCCGTCTTCTTCTCCTTTGATTTACAAGGGAACATGGGGTATATTCGAAGATCATAATGTGCCGATAACAAATCTTTCTTTACTATGTGTGGAGCAGTGTCTAAAAGGATTTACGAGCAGTGGGATAAAATTACAAACCCACAGCTGAGATGAAACCCGCTTTAGATCACCTT